TCTCCTTCCGAAGTTATACTTTGCAGAAATCATCCGTCCGAGATAATATGCGAGTATATTATCGAATAATGCTGAGAACTTCTTCCCTCCTTTTGATCGACCTTACTTCTCAGTTTGATCTACGCATGTTTTATATTTGTGGTCAGCAGAGAAAAAAAGAAAACGATCAGATTCCTATTAATTTATCGCTTTCAGTGTGTACCATTTTTGAATTATTAAATGAGATGTTATTTTTAATCATCAGTTAATAGATTTATTCGCTGATTATCTTGCAATGGTAATTACTGTTAGTTTTAAGTGAACGTCAATTCATTTAAAACTAACAGTAACATTACTTTTAATACATGTACCACGCATCAAACACGTTACACTTTCTTTCTAATCTTATTCACAGCCAAAATAAAAATTATAAAAATTAGAGAATTAAATAAATCAGTTCAAGAAAAAGAAATGAAGAAAATTTCCTTTCCGAGAAAACCATTTCTTGCACTCGAAATCTTCTGATGATTCCAGAGAGTATTGAATGATCTGTACATGACATCCAATGTTTCTCGATTTGATCTCCGCACCTATTACGTCGATTTGATTTGATTTCCACGCTTGTTACGTTCAGATCTTCCAGATCTTCCGCATTATGTACAATTTGATCAATATTTTTACATACAAGAAAAATTGATTCCTTTCTTTCAATCTTTTTCTTTAATTGGTGCAATTTTCTGTGCTTTTTAAATTAAAAGAATAATAAATAATTTAAAAATAATATTATTTGAGGTTTATTGCTTGTAGTATATGCTATTTTTGCAGCTTTAAATGAAGTTTCGTTATCAAATCTCGTTATTATATTTCATTTTTCACGTTTACTGTCAATTAATATGTCTCTATCAATTTGGAAATAATCAGAAAGTCGAATATCACAACGATTTGACCGTTGATTTTAGCGTATGCGCGGATTTTTTGGCATCATTTTTTAATGCTCACTAAGTTATGCTTAATTGCCGATACATGATTGGCAAACAATTTTCTTTTCAGTAAATTTCTCAAAATTTGATTAAATTTTTGTCAAATGATGTCTTTTACTCCATTTGAATTTTAATAATTAATAGCCATGTAGACAGCGGTTTTTCATTTCTCGTTTGAAATTTGTAAAGTTTGTCATTGAATCCCTATTAGTATTACAATGTTGATTACAATGATGATGAGAATATGATATAAATCATTCATTAGGTTACAATCAAGGATTCAGATGATAAAAGTTTTAATTGTGTTAAGTGGAAAATGCTATAGGAAACGAATGCTAATATTGAGAATCCATTTCAAGTTAATTTTTTCATAATTGCATATTTTCCTTCAATTCATCCGTACAAACTTTCATACCACTGAAATTTCTTTGTTTTTTTTTTGGTATTCGGAAATAGAGCGGTTTTTGGAATCATTGTTTTCTCTTTCTGAATTCTGAAAGCATTTCATAATTTTTCAAATGCTATTCCTTCGATAATTGAAATGACATCACAAATTTTATTCTCGTAAAAAAATACAGTGAGAAGTGAATTTTTTTTTTTGCACAACTCGACAAAAACGGAACAAAATAATAATGTATAAAATCTATGGGATATTCAAGCTGACAGAAACGTGAGATACGTAAATCTCAACAACATGCATCAGACGTGTCAAAAGAGGCGTGAGTTTGTATTGACGAAACGTGGCCAAAAGCAGATTACATTCTGAAGGCAACACATTAAATACACCAAATACGAACAGACTGAACAGAAAATAACCTGTATAAATTATAATTTATTTAAATACAATTTGAATTGCAGGAGGGAGAAATGAGACGATTGCAAGTTGCCTTTTGTAGTATTTCATGGAAGTAATATTGAAGAAGTGTCGATATTTCTTGCGTATACAGCTTTCGAATTATTTGTTTGCACTCTTCGTGTTTTGTCTCATTCAGTTTAATTTGATTTAATTTAATTGAACTGAACTGATTGTAATTATCTTTAAATTTTATAATTTTATTTTCAGTGAATCATTTGGCATATATTCTGCTACTTTGTGGTTACTTCCATCTAAGAGAGAAGACAGGCTCAGTATATGAATAGCTAGCTTCCAAAAATTCTGACGTCAAAATGAATCCGTTATAACTGAATAAAATTATTATGCGATGAGGAGATTATTCAATTGTTGCCAGTGATATTTCCATGTGAAAGCCATTCAAAATCAGCAAAAATTTTAGTAGGAATACATTTAAATTCAATAAGAAAATATGCTTTTATTATCTTTTTATGGCGATTTCATCGGTTTAGACTATCAACATGAGGCAATTAATTCTTATGTATTCACTCTATCCGATCTTAAAGATGAATGAGAAGATGATGATTTGCATTAAAAAAAAAAAAACATACGAATTTTCCGGAATCTAGCAAAAATCAAAGAAGACAGATATGAGAAGGTTATTTCCAATGATTCTCCTGTAAAAACAAATAGAAAAAAAGACAAGTGCAAGCTGGCGATTTCTGCCAATGCAGTTGGTAAAAAAAGCAGAAGAAAAATATTACAAAATCATTCAAAAGAATGCTAAAGCGAAATCATAAATTCAAATACTATTCGTAAAATAATCCCTGTCAGTGGATCAAACAAAAAATAACAGTGACGAGCAACAAAGAATGTATAAAATAGTACGTCGTGAAAATACAAATATCTAAGTCTCTTCAATATAAAACACTAAGAGAGGTATATATGCAAATATATAAATATTGAATGATAAAACTCTATGAACAACAACCAATTTTATTTCATCCTTCCAACAGAGAATATTTCAAATTAACATTTTTCTGATTTGTAACCGTTTTCTATTTAACCGTCTATATCGAAGAAATATTCACAGTATCTTAAAAAGACCCATTAGATCCTTTTCAAATTTTCATAATTGAAATCATTATGTTAGGAGCTTAGAATCAAAACCAGGATAAGAAAATTTCAGTCATTTCTTTCACTCATTTATATATCATTAAAAATGATAATAGTTCATCAATTTTTTTGGATGAAATAAAGATCAAACCTTCTTCCATTTTTGTACCACATACTGATGTACAAAGAAGAAACTTCCAAGAAAATTTGTCAACTTTTCAAAGCTAATAATTTCAGGAAATTTGCCTTATTGTATTCGCTTGATTGTAAAAGAACAGGATGCTTCAACCGTCAAAAAAAACGGTCCTTCCTCGCCTTGCTGGAATGTCATCGGTTGAATGTTGTAAACACCTGCCGGTACAGCTTCCAGAGCAAGCACAGTGTATCCCGGCCTAAAATTCCCAGCAGTTAGATGGAATATGAGAAAAAGAAGGAATTAAAAATAAAGAAAATTAAAACCTGAATGATCCTGAACTTCGTCTTTCAAATGGTTTATTCCTCGATGAAGAAAATTGCTTAATTTCAAAACCGATGTTATATTGTTTTGGACCTTTCAATTCAATAAGTACATCATTGTCATCGCTACCGTCATCCAAACTCACTTGATATATTGGGTTGTTCCTGCAAAATGTGATAAATATTACAATGTTCAAAAGAGGCAACAAATAATCAACCGCTTCATTAACCGAATAAGGACTAATGAAATTAAAATTAATATACATATAAGTTTCTCGACTTTGACCGTTACCACATCCACCAGCTGTTTTTCCTTTCCATTCGCCAGTTTCCTAGAAACATCAAAAAAATATGGCTTTTTAAGAGATGTTTTAAAGTGAACAAGAATCTTTATGAGATTAAAATGATGTTACCTTTTTCTTTGAAACATAAGGCACTTTCATTTTTCGCAGACAGAATTCAGCTGTAGAATATACTCGTAATGTATAATATATTGTTTTCATCTTTTCATACTATAAAATAGACGGATGTCATTACGGCATCGTTACAGCATAGTTACAATTATTTGTTCACTATTTTATATCTGATTTTTATTAATCTTAACTTCTGCTCCTCCAGCAAGATTTTTTTACTATTGAAATAACATTATAAAATTAAGGTTTTGTTGCAAACTTGTGCCACTATAAAGTATGCATTAGATTTGGAATTAAACCTAATTTTATGGTAAAGCTTAAAAGTATATTACCTGCAAACCTAATATTTTTCAAAGAAAATGATGCTATTTCAAAAAAAAAAATGCATACTTGAGCAACAACTAGGGTATATCTTTGATAACCACATTCAGAGATAATCATCTGACATAAATAGTGGGGACTATTCAATCGCACTGCATCCATGATTGGCTTTGGATCGGCTAAAATTTATGACACCAAGATTAAAGATTTTATGAAACGACTTCCATCTATAAGAATACATGGATTTCTTGAGCTTCCTAGCATCCTAATTACTGAAATGTAAAGTGATATGTCCTCGCATTATATCACCTTTTTATATAAATATAATAATATGATATCATTCAAAACCTGACATGGTATATAAATTTTCTTTCCTGATTTGTACACCATTACTGTGATATATTCTTTGTTGTTAGCAAAATCATTCTGAAAAAACATGAATTAAAATTCAAAATCAAAACAATTTGGAATTTAACTAGTAATAAAATACATCTAAAATCTGAAAATCTGACTTTGTCCGTTATATGGCGTGTAAGTAAAATCCATACTGCAGTAGAACCATTACTATTTATTTCCAATGTGTACTGAGGATTGTCCGCTATACTATACAAATCTTTCACTGGCCCTAAACCTGCTGACCACATTCTGAAAAAAAAAAGTACAATATAGATTCCTACAATTGTGTATTTCATATTTAAATGAAGTTCTGGACACTTACGCATGTATTCCATAAGTGTGTGGAAATATCGAAGGATCCCAGTTCACGTAAAACACCTCGAAGAAATGACATACCGATTTAAAGTCCATCCAAAATACACCTGAATTGTATCTGCATTTGGAATAAATAATTTCAGCAAAAATAATAAAAAATTTAGCAATTTCACAATAATTTCAACTAAAGCTGGAATTTCTCTAAAATTTCAACATAAAAATTAGCGAAACCATTGCCAACCATCATCAAATTGCTGTGCGTCTGCAGGATTGTAATTCAGTGCTTTGCAAAGTTGTGGTGTCCAGCTGAGCTTATCCTTTTCAGAGTAACGTCCTTTCCAACGTAAATGTGTCCAAGGATTTTTCAGCATTAACAACTGCTTGCCCTAAAAAGTAAAATTTTCTAGCAAATAGAAATTATCCTGCAAAGTAAAAAAAATTTATTTCCTACCTGAATTTTCCTCAGATCTAACACGGCATATGCATGTCTGTCAACTAAGCCAGTTCGATTAATTGTCGGCTGATCCATTTCACCAGTTGCCAGTGTAATGAGACAATGGCCTTGATGATATCTAAGCATCAACTGTTAATAGGTAAAATAATTGTTCAAAGAAAATAATGATCAATAACCATTACAATTATATAAAACTACAGTTCTTCGGTATATCCTTAATCGTTTTTAATGGCGCGAAGACATCAATAAATGTGAAACACAAAGTTATTTTGATCTTTCTTTTTCCGTTACTGTTAACATCATTTTCATTTTATATAAGCTTTCTTTTAAAACAGTTTTACAAACAAACCTTGTAAAAAGTTTTTCGAATACAGCGTCAGCATCGTTATCAGACCAATCCGTTTTAATACTTATTCTTTCGGGTATCCATCCTGTTAAGGCATGCATATCAATACACTGAAAATGATATTTCAGAATTTTGAAGATTGACTTGTAAAACATTCTTCTTCAGTATCTTGAAAATTTTACCGAGTTTGAGCCTGGAAAATCATACCCACCCATCACCTTCATGTAAGCCTTTTCCAGTAACGAAACCCATAATTCATTCCTGCAAAATATTCCAGTTCTATCTTAAATTCAAATACAACTAAAGCAAAACAAATTACATAAAAATAGAAACACGAAAAAAGTGTGAATTATCAAATTACAAACTTTTGTTGGCTATATGAACACAGGAAATCACCATATTCTCCAATGGGGAATCGATCGTCGATTACGACCTGGATAAAATCTTTACTTCATTTTATATTTCGAGACAATGCAGCATTTGGAAAATTTTCTTTTCTTTCTTTATAGTAAACAAAAAAAGCCCTAACCATAGAGCAAAATCCGTTCAAACAAGCAAAACAATAAAGAGATGAGACTGAAATTTTAATTTATCAGTGCTGGAAATGGTGACATCTGATGTGATCGCAAGAAATTGTCTCACATTCGATGCAGGTCATTAGCAATATCGGGATTTTATGCCAGATGTATCATAACATTCGGAAAGGGAAAACGATGCACCTACATCCAAAAAATGATGGTGCATGGATAAATGCTCGGATATTATGCAAAAAATTTGATTGAACGGTAACAGATAGGATGTTCACATTAATATATCTGCTAAATATTACTAAATGAAAATAAACAATACATTCCCAGATAAAAATACAAAATAAACCATTCTTACCTTTCTCCAAACACCATTGAAATGCATCTTGATCATATATTTTCCACAAGGATTATATAATGGTACGCCGAATTTATTTTGAGGATATATTATGCTAAAAAGAGATTAAATTATTTGCTGACTGACATTATTATAAATTTAATGTATATAATGAAATTTTGCATCTTGAGAGTGCTAAAAGATAGAATATAACAAAAATGTTGGCAGAAAACAGCGTTTCGTAGATCAGTCTTTCAATTTTACAGTCATGACCAGAATGCAAAGATTCCTAATAGCTCTATTCAAGGTTGCAGCAATTTTTCTTCATATTGTTTTAATAACAACACCAGCACTACATTAAAGAGTATGAAATATACATAATTAGGAATATAAGAAAACATTTACTGAAAACAATACATAAAAATACCTTGTCACCAATGGCTTCTTGAAACGGCTTTCATATCGAGCTGATATGGCTAATGAAGCTACGAAAGAGCAATCGGAGACAATTGACTGAAATAATAATAACTCTCCAAAAAAAATTTTTGTTGATTATAAATTTTAAGCAGAACACGAAAAAATATTAATAATGATTAAACGTATTGTTTGCACCTTCTAACTACCTATTATCATGCATGTAACTAATATAATTCATATAATTGCTAGTCAGCATATTTTGAGCTATATCACTATTGACGAAAAAATAGTGAGCAATATTACTCTGATAAATAAACATAGAAAGAATAAAACAAATGATTTTTTTAAAGAAAAAAACATGAAGAGATAAGGAAACAACCTGTTTAATAGTACCACTATCGATCTGCTGAATTACTTTAGGAGATTGCATGAAGTTGTCTGGACGCATCCAACTTTTTAGCCGTTCTACTTGTTTATCAGATAAAGCCAACAAACCATGTTTATCACTGAATATTTCAGCAATAAAGTGATCAAAAATGTCAACTTCAAAAAAAAAAAACTAAAAAATTTTTATTTTTGCAAAACTTACGTAAATGGTACCGGATAAGCAAAACGTTCTTTTAGATCGACATCCAAAAAGGGAACATATTGCCTTCCGTTAACGTTTGATGTTGCTGCCAATACTGTCAATTCGGATTTAGTGAGGCGATCATTGTTATTATTTCCAGCTTTTCGCTTAATAATCTTACTACTACTGGGGTTAGCAACCGATTGCTCCAAGGACATGTTTATAGTTAAATCCGATATTCCTACAAATGTCTAACATGATCCACTTCACCACGGAAATAGGTTACTTTTACATAAATTAATAAGTTTGTCCCATTAGTAAAACTAATCGAATGACACTGCGTAAAATATAATAATTGAAATTTTCGTTATGTGGAAGTATTTCAATCAAGGTCTAAAAAAACATTTCGAAAAATTTTGTATATATATGAAGCATAAGGAAATAATGTTTAGATATAATGATAAAATAAAATGGATATACCATCTACAGGAGCTTCAGACAATACTATATTAGGACTTTTTTTCAGTTTCTCTTGAGCTTTTAGGACTTCTGCTCGATCCAAAGCTTTCTCAGCCAACTGGCGTAACTTTCCGGCCATGGCGGCATCACAAAATGTGCTCTCAAAATAAGAAATTCAGCTTAAACATTTATATTTCGATATTTAAGATGATAATAAATAATCACAAGTATACAAGTTAAACTGACCGAAGTATTGAGGCAAAGCTCAATAGCCAGAGAATACAACGTGATGGCTTCACCGATATTTCCTGCTTCATCCTGATCCAGTGCTTGATATAATAAAAATTCTGCTCGTTCAAGATTCAGCTGCTGTTGGCTTTTGATATTAGTTGATAACTTCGATGTGCCTAACGAGTTTACATTCTTTATTTTCACCGAAATTAAAAATATAACCCGTATGAAAAATAATTAATAAAAATATTTAATACGCCAAATATTCTAATAAGCAAAAATAAACTCTACATAAAAGTTGAAAACTATAATAACTGCTTGAAAGACTTTACAGTTGATTATCATAAATTGATGTAAATGTTCACACATAAATAGAAAAAAATCAACATACTCTGTGATCTGATTACTTCAGCACGTTTCACGTATTCTTCTGCTTTATCTTTATACGAAGCTGGAATTTTTTCTTGTCGTATTAATTCCAGGATTGAATTTGCAGCATCCTTAATTTTATACATTCAAAAAATAAAGTATGTAACGAGCGCAAAATTAAGTAATGAGAAAAAAGGATATGAAAATATGTAAAAGATAATCTAATGCAATGAAATTTTAAAACAATGTTTGTATGAATTTGCAAAATTTCAAAAACCGATAAAAATATTAAAATCCAACTCGACCAAATTTTATATGAAATTATTTGCTTAAATTATTTATAACTTGAGAACTGACTTACCTTTTTTCACATCCAATTTATTCCTTTCCTTTAGCTTTGATTTATCCCTTAATTCTGATAATTCACCTATCAACTCATTAATTAACAGTTTCACAAATATGCACTTACTTCCTGTCCAGTTAGTCTAGTTATTTCTGAACCTAACCTAACTTATGTCCAAAAGACTCTTAAACAATCAGTACAAATTCATCTAAATTATTATTTATTATTTCATATCAAATTTGGTCATTTGGTAGCAAGCAGCTATTTAATTTAACTCTTATTACATTTGTCATTTATTTATAAACGTACGTAATTACTTGTTTGTCTGAAGTAAATAAAAAAAGCAACTAACAACATAGAAGTAAATAGCGGCATCCCAACGACATGCCTTATCATATTCAATAGCTTTCTGAGCCGAATAAGTCACTTCGTCCATTTTATTTTGAGGTCTTTTTTTTTTTAAACCATTGCATTTCTTACTAAAATGAAATCGCTTAAGCAACAAACATTATGATATGCGCATAAATGTAAATGTCATGTAATTTAACGAGAAAAACCTTACGTCAAATAAATGTTTATCCTTCACACATAGCACTCATTCATTCTTCTAATACAACGTTCATTTTTGTATTTCAAAAAAGTTAAAAATTCGATTAAATTCGCAATCTAAATATTTATTTCTGATTATAGCTATTATAAAATTATCAAAAGGATAAGTCTCAGAATGAATGAATAATAATTTTCTGAATGAATTAAGCCGGTAATGGAATCCGGAAAAAGAATGCAAAACTCGGATGCCGCATCACAATCAGAAAAAAAAAGCATTCAAAATTTGCATCATTACACTTCAACTCTATCGCTACACATCAATGAGAGTTTGCGAATTTATCAGAGAATCAGAGATTGATGTAGTTAATGAGAGAGAGTGCAGGCAGTAATAGCAAGAAATAAATTTTTTTATTTTTTTTTTAACTTAAATGAGTATTTTTAATTGCTAATGATAAAACTGTAATGGAAAAAAAAACTTGGAAAAATACCATTTGATAAAAGCATACGGAAGAATACAAAAATTTCTCATTTAACCATTATATTCATCATATAAATTGAGTAGATAATATTAGAAAAATAATCCAAACAAAGTAAATACAATAATAGCTGGGTATGTTTATTGGAAATTAAGTAAAGCAAAATCAAGATTATTGTACACTTCGTTATTACAATCTCATAATTTTAAATAAAATCAACAATCATTTCCAAAATTTTAATTCAAACTTACACAAAGAAAAAAGTTACAATTAGAAAAAATTTTTTCAAATACCCTTTGCGATATTTTTGGCATTAAAAATTTTACGATTTTTTACTAATCTTTTCTGTGCTTATTTAGAGAAATCGGCTGAAGACACATGTAAAAAATTTTAATGCTAATACTAGTATATTATCCATCATCAAAATTTAAAGCTGCCAATAAGTAAAGCTTCAAGAAATTAACAGTAAAAATTCCAAAATAACATAGCACAAAGGCGAATGATTGTATAATTGCAATGTAGTATAAATGTATCTTGCATACGACCAAATTATAGCTTATATTTAATACTAGAAAATTTAAAATCTGAAAAAAAAATACTTGTAATCAAAAAAAAAGATAAAAGAATGAATTAAACAAGAAAATATCCAAAAATCACCATTCATGAAAGGAACTTGAAATGAGAGGAACTTTTCTTACTCTAGCAAACATATTTCATTAAATTTGAATGAATTTATGCAAATATATGAGATTAAACAATTCAGATAGCATCAAAAATGACGAAATATATGGTAGGAAATTTTGAAATACAGTAAAAATTGTTGTAATGCATACAGCTGAACAGAAATTTGATGAATTAATGAAAGCAAAATGCATGATTGCGACTTATTTCGATTAATATTTTATTAATTAGAATAAAAAAATTTCGCAGAGTTTAATCAATGATGTTAATGAATGAATGATGCAATGACGTAATGACGCAATTATTTGTTGATTTTTTTTTTGAAATTTTTTCAGAAAAAGATGTTTTTTAATTCCTTTTCTATTCTTTTTCTAAAAATAAATGAATTGACCCAAATTTATGTCAGCAATATGCATGAAGACGTAAATATAACAATGTGAGTAATTTATTTTTAATTTATGAAATATTATAAGGTTTTTTCAATTCTTCGAAATTTTAACAATTTCATTGGTCTGCTTCGTAGCATTCTGCACTCTTGTATTCTCGGATTTTATCAATTATCTGTCGGAGAATGAGTGAAACCTTTACTGATTATAAAACAATGCTTTCATAAAGATATTATCTCCCTCTCTCTCTCTCTCTCTATTTGTCCATCTAATGTAATCAAGAAATTTTTTCCCTTCATATTGAGAAATTTTGAATTTGAATTTGAAATGGAGAATCATCATTAAATTACTTTGATACAAAGTAGAAAAAATTTTTAAAAAATCAGTAAAATAAAGTTGGCAAAAAAA